TACGATGTTTACCAGCTAATACCATCAACACCTACAATGTTCACTGCCTAATGCCCTCAGTGCCCACGATGTTCACATCAACATAAATTGACAACCAAGATGTACCACTTTGTAGGAATATGCTTAGATGAGTCTTTTTATATCACTGTGAAAATGAATATTTTGTTTTCCCGTGATTCCCATCATATTATTAGTTCCGCCCTGCGTTTGATTACAAATGCAGCAAGACATTTTGTCAGACTTGTGTCAGTGTCAGTTTAACTATCCTCTAACTCCTTGTTTTAATATAAAGAACAAGGAACCGATTGTGTTAAGTTTGTAGTTTTTTAAGCGTCATCATCACGAGTTTATGTTAAACAAATTGAGCTCAGACACAAATAACCGCCGTGATCTCGTTGGGATGGCGGGAACCACGTTACTTTGTTTGCCTCCCTCATTCAGTGTTGCATTCTCATACTATTTCAGTGATAAAGCAAGTTACGTGACCGGCACTCTCAACGTGGTCTCGGTGACCGTCTATGATCTATTATTGATACCTGCTAATAATGTATCATACTACTGGGATAAAATTGCGGCTGATCTGCACTGGCTCGGAAGATGAATTCTGATTGGCTAAAACAACAAAAAAACTTGTGGCGTTGAATGCACGTTCATTGTCAGTATTGTTATGCAAATTCAAACTAGCTAATCATTTACAACCTTCCGAGCCAGTGCAGATTAGCCCTAAAATTGCCTTTGTAGTACTAAGCATATCTGTATAAATGTTAGGATACAACGCCACAAAGGCTTTGGAGTCTGTGTACAGGTAATTTATGTTTATAAACATTGATTTCCCCACAATCCAATGCGCTCTTCTAGATATTTGACTTGACATGCACTAATTATCGCCGGTGACTCCTTCGAAACCTTCCAATCGCCAAAGAAATGATATAATTCAAGCTTGGTAACGTCTCAGTTTAGACACATTGGTCTGCACTAAGTCGCCATCTTTGTTTATATGGGATCCAAATCTCGCGCATGCGTGGCACGTCGACCGCCGTCCTTTACTGGTTTCCTGTTGTTTTCTACAAAATTTATGTTCGAAATGGTCTGAATACTTTTTTTTCTACATATTGTAATTTGTCCTCTCAGAGTTTTGTTTTTCCTCTATTTTGTTTTGTTTACATGTAGAATCCTGGAGTAAAAAATGCAATACATATGATGTGTATTTGTCTGCGTTACATATCCAAAAGAAACAGATAACAAAGATCAAAATATTGTTTTAATTTGTTGAAACCACATTGTATGAAATAACAATCTGGCCAAAAAAACACATGTTGGCCGATTCAAACTTTTACAAAAAAAATGTAATCAAATCAGACAAATTTGTTAGGCCCTCTACCTTCAATATTCTCAGAAAAGCAACCAGTTTTAAAGTGTCAAATAGAGTTTTGCCCAGATCCACAGGTTCATAGTTACTCAATGTAACTGAAGTACGCCCACACACATCGCGTTTCAGATAAAACGCAGTGAAATAAATTGGCTAACAACCATATGATTTGGGCTGCGAACGCTGAAAGACTAATTGATGGTATGAGTCCTATTATGAAAGAAAGCACATAAGAACTAATTCCAATGTAACAATATGGCATACCTATCCAATGTTGTCGAAACGCGCAATATAGATGACGTAGCTTCAATTGGTGGCCAATCACACTGAAATAGTGCACATCACGTGGTAATAGCGCAATAATATAAGCGAAAAGTTAATATTTGTCTGAAATCCGTTCGCGGGGAGGGGGTGCAGCAAGTGCCCCTAGCGACAAGCTGCACACAGCAGTACACACGATTCACCAAGTTTCAAAGGAATTTGGCATAATGACAAACCATTTGTCATAACAGATAGTATTGCTCTAAATATGGGACACAATATAATAAATATTCACCAGCAGATGCACCATATGATATCTGCTTCCGCCATGAAATAAAGTACTGCCCATAGAGATCAACTGAGCCAGCTCACCGATGCAACAAAGACTGATAAAACAAGCATCAGAAAACCGCACTTTTTCATGTTTATGGATCAAACAAAGATATCCATGTATCTATGTGTAAGTCTCATATTACTACGCCTGGTGCCATTCATCCAAACCTCAATGATATACATCTTAAACTCCTAAGTGATATCTATATAAATAAATGGGCGCCAAGTCATCTAAAAAGCACCCCCCCCCCCAAATAGTTGAACGAACTACATAAATTATGTTTTTGTTTTCACATTTTCCCTGATTGTTTTGTCACTACATCGTGAGAGTTGTGTGGACTTTTAAATACAATAACATGCTATTACTTATTTTATTATTTGTTTTGACGAAAAAATACTTTTATATATATTTGTTGAAATATAAATCGTGTTTTTGTTATCAGAACTTTGTTTATTCTGTACTCAAAATATGATGAATGTATATTCCCCCTGAAATATGGATTATTATAATTATGCAATTACCGTATGTCCAGACAGTGATATAGAGTGTACTCAATATCTACTATGATAATTCTATGTTTTTGTTCGAAGGTTTCATGCACACAAATAACATTGCGAATATGATCTCAATTCTAAGAAGACTTCAAGTATTCTAACGGTGAGCAGTAAGGTGGCTTACAATTCATTTTCATTTCATTTTTTATACTTCCGAACTTCTGACTTCTAAGCTGATCTTTGATTGTCATTAAAAAGATCGTCACCCTTGATCCACTTGCACTGTTGTTTGAGTTGGGTTATTTAAAACCTTGATTAACACTGAATAACATAACTGGCTGGTACGAATTGTCAAATATTGGCTTCATCTTTTAGACATACCTAAATGTCGACTAGATCGGAGGCTAACAATGACCGTTGATGTTGGGCATGGAACGTGAAACAATTGCTTTTTTCGTATGGCTTTGGTGATGTTTGGCATAATCAAAGTGTTAACAATATTGATAATTTTATTGCATTATTTAAACAAAAATCTTGGGATATTGACATTCAATTTATTTTCTATGCAACTAAGAAAGGATTTTTAGTATTATCAAATGCAAGTTTCTGTTTATTTGTGTTCTGGGTTGTTACCATGCAAATTTTATTACAAATAGTTATTAAGCGCTCTGTAATACATTCTTGACGTATTTTACTTGTACCTTGAATAAATAAATATATAATTAGAATCATGTATGGGTGCGTTTACGTGAGTGGAATGGGTGGGTGAGACTTTGTGACGCAACATTTGTTTCTAACACGAGTGGCCAGCGCTTTTGATTGTGTTTAATTATTTTTTAAATCTCACAATTGTTTATTTTGTCATGTCTCGTGACAGAGTGTACATGCTGACTGTATTGTGGGTGTTATAAATTTGCTAAATCGTTGGTCAATGACGCGCACGGTCGCCGTCTCGTGCATACATATGAATGCAACTATTTCGGGGTTCAAATCAGCGTACCATGTAGTGGTGTTATGGATAGATATTGGACAACGAATGAGACAGCAGACTGTATGACGTAATTGGACAATAATTTCAAGTGATACTAAAATCCGAAAATCGTCTATTATTATTCTTTGAAAAACATTCACGTTCGATTTGCAAATCTACTAAACAAAACAAGTGTTCCGACTAGCAAAAAACACATACCAAATCAACATACAAAATGCCCCCCCCTCTATAAAGACACTGATCCAAATTCTCACTTTTATTTTTTTTACTATGTGAGCACAAGTAAACATACATTAAATACATGTAAAATGCAGGTTCATAATCAAGTATTATGTTGGTTAAGAAAACCATTACGGATGTTTACTCTTTTTCTCTAGTCATTGTGTGTATTTTATAAACATGATTGACTTGAGTCTGTTATATTTAGCAAACATAGTTAGTAGTTACGCCAGTTAATTGCTGCACCGTCAGTGCTAGTTAATTGTTGCACTGTCGGTATTAGTTAATTGTTGCACTGTCAGTGCTAGTTAATTGTTGCACTGTCGGTATTAGTTAATTGCTGCACCGTCAGTGCTAGTTAATTGTTGCACTGTCGGTATTAGTTAATTGTTGCACTGTCAGTGCTAGTTAATTGTTGCACCGTCAGTGCTAGTTAATTGTTGCACTGTCGGTATTAGTTAATTGTTGCACTGTCAGTGCTAGTTAATTGTTGCACCGTCAGTTTAAGTTGATTGTTGCACTGTCAGTGCTATAGTTAATTGTTGCACTGTCAGTGCTAGTTGTTTGTTACACTGTCAGTGCTAGTTAATTGTTGCACTGTCAGTGCTAGTTAATTGTTGCACTGTCAGTGTTAATTAATTGTTGCATTGTCAATCCTGTTTAATCATGCTACATGTATCTGACAATCTTCGTCTGAAGGCCACTATAAATCAGTACGTCATCTTCCTTTGGTACTAACTAAATGCTAACTAGCAAACTAACAACAAGTAAGCTTTTAAAAGTACACACATAACGACAGGAATGAGTCCAATTGTTAGCGGGTTAGCACCAGATATGTCCACTTCTTCACATGGGTTGTCAATGTTTTGGCTCCAGCCAGTCGCAAACATTCTTGTCGATGCGCCGCTGCCGTTATAAATCTTCATTGGAACAGCAAAGAAAAATGACCCCTTTGCCGGTAGCTTATCAAGATTTCCAACATTCTCCAACCCTGGAAATTAAGAAATATTTTTAGATGAGTATACTAGTATTAAACATCAACGTTTAATCTAACATGCAAAATAGTTCATTTGTTGTGTAAGATGAACTTTTCCATCTATATCACTTAAATACTTATTATAAATAATTTTGTCAGCTACAAACTAACTAGGTATAGTGTTGGCTGTGGCTATGGTTACCCCAGCCGGGTAATAATCAGAGTCAGTGGTAAAGATTTCATTATTCCATGCCTTTTTTGGTAACTCTATGCAGCAAACTATGCAAATTTCAGTGGAAATTAAACCACAATATCCTGTACACAAATGAAATGTTATTCCATATGAATTCACCATTAGTATCGTCAGATTTATGCTCATTTTGTCATGGTACCACCGAGAACCTAGTGCATCTTTTTGTTGAATGCGAGTCTATTAAAGTCCTCTGGACATCAATTTTTAATCTATGGGGAACAAAACTAGGATGCCCAAGAACATTGTCAGCAAAACAGATTATATTAGGAGACAAGGACTTCTCCCCTCTACTAAACCATATAATTATAATTGTTAAATGAAATATCTATACGTGTAAATTAAAAAAGGAACTACCATGCTTTAATCTCATAAAATCTGACATACGTTACACGCAAAAGATAGAGTTAGACATTTCAAATAGAAAAAATAAAAAGATTTCACATGATGAATCCTGACGAAAATGACCGCCGAGATCTCGCCGAGAACGTGAACCACGTGAACGTGAACAGTCACGGTGGTTCGTCGGACGCAATGACGAGAGAAAAAAGCCCAAAACAAGTCTTGTGGCTTTCTCACTGTTAGTTACGTATGTATTACATAGACGACGAGTCGTAAACTGATCTTTGAATGATAGAATAAAGTTCACGTTGCGAATTAACTGTACCCCATGATTGAATATGGTATCGCGTGCTAGGCTCTGACTCTGGCATCTAGTCTTGTGAGTGTGACATGAAGACCACCACTAGAGGGCGTTGAAGCTTTACCTGGAATGTTATTTGCAAATAGAAGCTGATGAGATTCATATAAGCGTGACTGTCCGAAGTCGATAGAGGGCGTATCTACTCCAACTGCTCTAATCTGAAATTAAGATGGTAGAGTATAGTAGTTAGCACTACTGATGACTGGTAATTAATAATAATAATAACAACAACGACAGGTGCAGAAACAACCAAAACATGCATTTTGATATTAACCCAATCATATTCTTCCCCTTGTTTTATTGTTACAAAATACGCTAAGTCTTCTGGGTAATCATGTTATCCATTCAATGTATGACAATCACCACCACGCGACTACCCAGAAGAAGTACTCTGAGAGATAGGTGGATTTAATCAGAATTTTAGGCAAATATGGTTTGACAATCATTTTCTATATAACAAAGTAAGTGTTGATTCCTGGAAAAGCAGTCTCATTTACTCAAATGTTGGCCGATGTTAAGTACCGAAGTGGTGGAAAAAAACTAAAATTATGATTATCTCTTAGAGTAAAGGACTTTCTCTGGATGTGTATCAAGCTGTGTGGGTAAACGAGAGTAGCAGGGAGGCATGAAGACAACAAACAAACAACCTTTTATTAGGTGTACGAAATTTCAACAGTGTGCCTAGTCTGCCTGGATAGTGAAGACACATTTTTTTTGCTCAGAGGGGACACAAACCTGCATATATTGTGTTATAGGTGATATTTTGTTGGTAGCCTTTGACGTATAAAGTAGTACGTTTCATATGGTTAGAAACTGTTAGCAAACAACCGAACATTGCCGAGCATTGCCGAGCATTTATGTATATTCAACTGTGGACGTGTTTTCAGCATCTTAGAATCAAATCCATGGCGTTTTTTTTTTAAATGGCGACCCAAACAGAACAGATCACGCAGTTTTTCAAGATAAAAAGCCTCACCGATCACCAAAACCATGCAATTGGGTCGTTACTAGCTGTGAAAAAGGATGAGTTTGTTGCAACAAGGACAGGGAGTGGCAAATCACGAATATTGTGCAACAGTTCTTGAATGATCAGTCAGGTAGTGTTTCTGAGATTTTCTTTCAGAGTTGACAGTTTTATTACTTTGTTAAAACATGGTCGACATAAATATCTGTCACCTTGCTGACGAAGTATGTTACAAACAGCCTGCAACGTTGGCATGAAAAATGTGGACAACTGGCAAACAACTTAAACACAATCTACACGCACGGTTACTAGAAGAATTTTGAAGTTACCGTGCTACGCGTGACTATTTCCGGGATTTTGAACCCGCACGGTTTGGTGGAGTCGGCAATGAGTCGGAACCAACAAACCGCGCGATTCGGACGATGTTTCGAATGACGCCAGTTTATGAACGAAACGTGCTGAAAACTACAAGTACATGTAGTATGTTATTTCTCACCTTTTTATTAGCTATAAGCCATCTTGCCGTATCAGGACTGAATCCCGGGAAGTGGAGAATTGAAGTATTCTTTCCTTCGGTACCAAGGTAAGTCAACTACAAAAAAGAACAATTGCATTGTTAAAATTCAAATGTGATATACAATCTGGAGCCATTTATCCTATGCCAGAGATTTACAATATATAATGAAATTAGTTGACATGGCAACTGATTCGAATACTTACTTTGTCTGGCCAGCGTTGCCCCCAGCCGGAATACATTAACAAAATGGCGCCATCAGGTATAGGGCCGTTCTCCTCTTCCCATTGAGTTATATCATCTACTGTCACTTCCGCATCCGGGTCATTAGCAGCTTTACTGCTAATGTCCACCTTAATGGCTGGCCCAATCAGGGAATCTAGTGGTACTTGGTGAACGCGTTGTTTGTTCTAAGAGTATACATATACACAAATGTCTTTATATCTGTATTGGGCACAATTTAGGTCATAGCGAGAGATTCACAACGTGATTTACTACTACTATACTAGTACTAGTATATGATTTTTCCACATTTTATATAAGTACAATGTAGTTCCAATCACCTTTTCGGCCAATATGATCTCGCGAGATTGTAGGCGTGAACTACCGTACTCAGAATATACAACAATGTATTTTCAACGTATTCACACATTTGGGATTAAGAAGGGATTTGGAGTAGTAGCATACTGTAGAATACTTTATTTTCGCTATTTTCGCTGAAAGGATGATTCCGTGAAAATAAAATCCAGCGAATATACATTTTTCCCTATATTTCACATTCAACTCGTCAAAAATCAGTGAAAATAAATTCCATACAAAACACCCAAAATGCCTTTTCAGCGAAAATTAATTCCAGCTAAAATAAAGTATTCCACAGTATAATAGAACATGGCGTGGGTTAATCGGAAAGGCACAGCAGAGGGAAATCTGCTTCATATAAGATCCTAGTTAACGGTTTCTTAAAATTAATGTGTAGTCTCATTTTAATTCATATTTTTTCTATATATTTTATTTTTTTAATGTGATTTATTCAAAGGAATTCAAATTAAATAAAATATATGAAAAAATATGAATTAAATTATATTCTACATATAAGAAATTTAAAAAAGCAAAACTGGAATCTTATTTTTATCAGATTACATAGAGGGATAATTTATATGAAAATTGGTATATTTTAGATTGACAAAAATGAAAAAAAAAATGTATTATTTTGGTGATCATAATTTTAGGGTTTATCGGAGCCTCAAATACCGTAAGAAATATCGCAATTCGAAAAATACTCAGCATGGCTCTCCAAGGCCGTAGAAACCGTACAGGCCATACCGGCTATGGACGGACCACTTCTGCACGTCCCCCTAGCAGACGTGGTCATCATACGCCTCGGGCCTACGGCTCTCGATGGATGGCCGGACCAAGTAATTTTTGCTTCCTACGGCCGCGGCCTTGCTCTCTTTGTACCTCTTTGAGAAGTAACTAAAATAAAGCACCTCATTGCGTAGACTGGTCACGGTTTCTGGTAAGAGTCCTAGGGCGCTTTGCATTGAAACAACATGTATATGACTATAAACGAATGGTACTGTTTATGAGCTTACCTCAGCAAAATGACCGGGGGCGTCAAAGTGAGTACCGCCGTGCTCTGCTGCGCAGAAACTATTCGTTTCGAAGTAATATCCGTCACGATTAACACTCGACCCCGCTTCCCGTACATACGGATCAGCAGTTGGCCAGTAGATAGTTTCACCCTCAATGAAAGAGTAGCTCATGTCCAAAAACGGAGACTCTTCCGATTTTGCCGCAATTTGGCATGGTTCCTTGACGTCATCGCTCCACCCAGTAGCAAATATACGCGTCGGCGCACCAGTGCCATTAAATAATTTCATCGGAAGTGCAAACACAGTTGAGCCTAATGTCGGCAATTTGTCGAGTTCCGCGACATTTTTTAAAACTGTTGGATGAGAAAAATAACATTGTTTGATTAGTATCAGTAATCGAGTATATTGCAGACATGAATACACATACAGGTATGTGTTGTTAGTTTGTCCTATCACGTGACTACACGGTTCATATAAGTAGTACCCTCTTTTGACGAAGCGTTTTCGTATATGACGTCAAAATGACGCTGATGAGTGTAATTAGAATATATTTTGAAAAACAAAACATTAGTCTTTTTAGCGGACGATCACTGATCAAAACAACGTCGACGCTTTCTTGGTTCTTTTACAGAACCCATCTCGCCAGAAGGCGCGATTTATAGGCAATTATAATCAATTTTGATCACTATCAGAATACCTCGTTTTCGAAATACAATTCGATCGATTGAGTTCTCACCTGGAATGTTACTTTTAAACAGTATTGTGTGGCTCTCGTATAAGACGGCTGGTCCATAATCCAAAGATGCCGTGTCTATACCAAGCATCTTAATCTGTGAAACAATAATAGCCATGAACAATAAACAGGGAGTTGTGGTTGTCATTGCGACAGGATATTGAACTCATAGCCCAACATAACGAAATCATTTTTAATTTTCAAAAAAAAAAAAAAGAACCCTTTTTTACATTCTCCATCACCTCAAATGGAATTTCGTACCACTAAGCACCCAGTTGATATGCGGCACACATCCACCCTAATAATACCCAGCAGTTCGTTTGTATAAAGTTAAATTGTGTGCAACTTAAATGGCGTCCATGATAATATATTCACAAAGTAGCCACCTTCACCGCGCTCACCCCTCATCTTCTTCCTCCTCCTCCTCCCCTCCTCCTCCTCCCCTTTCCTCCTCTTCCTCCTCCTCCTCCTCCTTTTCCTCCTCCTCTTTCTCTTCCTCCTTCCCATGCTACAAAAAGTACACACATACCTTTCTGTTGTCTACCAGCCATTGCGATGCATTAGGATGTACTCCAGGGAAATGCAGCATCGTCATGTCATTGGTAGCTGTACCAAGATAACGCTCCTAGTGATAAACATAGTTAAACTCTAGTGACCTTGCCCTTTGTTATATAATATCATTCCCTTTACCATAGTTTGTTTCAATGTGAATACTGTAAAACATGTTGAAAAAGCGGCATGCAATTTTAGCGAATTGTGGTAAAATGACGCAATAGCGAAATGTTGATTTAGCGAATCTCTCTTGTCATTGTTGATTTCTTTGTTTGGCGGCCATTTTGAATTGATAATAAAGTCATTAGCGACATCTTGAATTAGCGAGTCAGTTCTCTCGCTAAATTCGCGAAAAAGACATTCTCGCGAAAAAGACATGTTTTACAGTATGCATTGTCATAATTAATTTTGAATACAAACAAGTTTTGGGGTTGAAACAACAGTTGGAAAGCAGTCTACTGAATGTCCTTGATATATGTAAATATCTTACAAAAACATTAGTGCGTAATTTGTTTAATTATAATTTGTTTACATAATTTCCATATTTATTCAAAGTAATTCAGATATTTTAGTATAAAAACAAATTCCTTATCTCAGAAAAAAGAGCTGCATTTAGACGTGAATAGATTCATAAAACATGCAAGCAAACAGAAAATCTTAGCTAGCTTTTGTCCAAGTCAAAAATTAATGATCCACTGAGTGAAAAGTAAAAAAAAAAACGCCCTCTATGAATAGCTATCATGTTGCAAGCACTGCTTTGTATGCAAATCTACTTAAATAGTTAGTTGTTGTCCAGAATCTACATCTTCAGACACTGCAATCTTTGTTTTTGAAGTGCGTTTTTAAATTAGTATTATAAAAGCTCTATCATTCTGCTCCAATAGCTGAAACAAATTCCTGTGAATTTTCATTTGTCGAATGAACTGTTTGTCAAATACAGAATACATATTTTGGATGCAACATTTTGCTTTTTATGTATTTCTTATGTATTGTTTTTGATTTGATAACTTTGGACTAAAGATTTTCTATTAGCTTCAGATCTTGATCAAAGTTTAGCACCCAATTCATAGGAGTTCTTATATTGATTTTCTGACATCTTGTTTTCTGTAAAGATTTTATTGGTAGGTTTGCAAATGTGTATCAGACTGTGCAAAAACTCTCTCCATGAGTTGGTTTTGAAACCCAGTCTAGTATTCTTATGGGATTTGGGAGATACATTACCAAGGATATTATTACAAGATAAATGATTTGCTTCATTGAACACATACAACAATGCATATTTCCACTGAGATCAATGACCTTTGAATGTGTATCACCAGTGATCAAGTAGAAACAGTCAACATATTTTATCAGATTTTCTCAAATTTTGCATGCTATTTTCATACAGGACATCTGTCGTTCATACTCACGGAAGACTTTATGCTGATGAATAAGGTGACCAAGTTTGATGAAGTTTGGAATAGAATTAGTAAAGTTATTGTTCACAGAATAACAATTAATAATGACGACGACGACAACAACAACAACGACGACGACGACGACGACGACGACAACAACAACGACAACGCCGGACAGAACATTTCCCCTTAATATACCTTTCTCTTCCATCTTTGATGGTACGGACAAGGTAAAAACAGACATCACTATTACAGCTGTAATTTCTGGGAAATGTTGAAGTTGTATTTTTGCATATGAATTGTATTGAAGCCTTGGACGTAATGCGTCTTAGGTAGAAAACAATTATCAGTTACATTATTCACAAAATATCTGGGTCGGTTGTAGGAATTGACGAAAATTGTTGCAGATTCATTCGTGGTCCTGTTTTTCAGCATCTTAGGTGGTAATTAAGACACATGGATTTTCTGATCGGCGATCTGATCTCGTCTGAAGGTTTGTTTTTATATATTAAATCAGGTTCTGACACGGATAATTTGTGAACGGCGTACTCAATTTAGTGCATGGTTCAGTTGGCTTCATAAATAAAAAAAATACTTTCAACAAAATTTAGAAGACACTGCACTGTGTATATATGAATGTGCAGTGGTATGCCGTAGACGGAGCGTACATTATCCAGCTTCTGAAATAAAGGACACGCGGGTTTCTGTACCACGTGTTATTTTTGTCCAATTACGTCATACAATCTGCGTTCAGTCGTGCGGACAGTCGTGCGGTAATAACTAAAATCGTCTAAATATTTTTCACACCACTGCATGACAGGTGAAGGTATGATTTGAAACGCTGCGAAATCCCGAAAAGTCGTCTGTAGCAGTGTGCGTGTATGAACGAGCCAGTGACAGTATACGCCATGGCAACGTCACCGAACGAGCCTACATTCTGACGTAGTGGGACGTAACACCACACGCATCAGAAACCTGCATTAGGTGCATTCAATCATATCAAGTAGCATGCGTTTCAGCTGCATAAACTGAAGCTGATTTATGTCGACATGTGTGGTCTTACCTTGTCTGGCCACCGACTCCCCCACCCTGTATAAACCATCAGGATGACGTCATCGGGTATTTCTCCGTTAGCCTCTTCCCACGACAACAAATCATCCACCATTAACTGCGCGTCTGGATCCACGTCTCCTTTATCTTTGATGTCAATCTTGACAGCTGGGCCAATCAGCATGTCAAGCGGGATTTCATCCACATATGACATTCCCTGCAATATTATTATTAAAGCGACAATTACTTCCCATCAATGCACAGCCTGCTAAGTTTTCCATAGAAGTGTTCGTAAACAAATAAGTAAGTTTGTATTAAAAATTCGCATTGATTCAAACTGATAACCTTTTCTGCAATTCGCGCCCTCTAACGACGGACGTTTAAGGTGCAGCAATGTATCCTCGGGGGCGGTGCTACGTCACAAGGCGTTCCACGTTGCTACGACGCGCACCACTGTACATGCATTTCTATGGGCTCTGTGCGCGCTGCTGTGGAACGCCGGTCGAGCCGGTGAAAATTCGAGAAAACAACACCAATTCAACTTTGAAGTAATCCCGAACAACCAAATTTATACATGTTACACACATAGGGCTAATCTTGTTATACTGTTCAGAGGAGTCTCAACAATCATCGCAAAGTACCGTTTTCTGCGAGTTTTGGGCCTTTGTTTTCACCGCCGCGGGTTGCCAGGCGGTGAAGATGCCCGGATGTCCGCGCCCGAGGATTAAAGCGCGGCAGTCGTCGCGCCGCGTCCTGTTCGATATGGGACTCATAGTGACGTATACAACGCGTGTAAAATACATTGTTTATTTACATGAAATTCAAACACGCGCTGCGCGACGACCACCGCGCTTTAAGTAATCACTTTCTGAATCTGTGGTGACATTTCAGAAATGAAATAGTATTATAATTAGTCCAAACTACATCGTCACTTATTCTTGTCTGTTTGTTTGTCATTTTGCTGAAACTAGGTTACAAATCATTCAATTAAACAAAAATCGTATTTTTTGCGCCACAATTGCATCCTGTTTTACGTATTCCATCAACTAGCTCCCGACACTATGGCCGATTATGTTTATAAAGGTGTACGGTGTTGTAATTAAGGAACCTTTCATGAGCCAGAGATGAAGCGCGTCGAACGCAAATTCGTCCTAATACAGTTGCGATGGCACCCGGGTGGTGGTGGTCGACCCCCGAAAAAATGCGCGACCTATTGCGCCTATGGGGCGCAAGGGATGGTGAGCAGATCTCACCCCACGAAAACTGTGTGCCTCTGTAATACGTAGAAATACGCGACAAGCTATTTGAAGGAAGTACATGTTACAATCATGTTGTTTTCAATTATCTAAGTTGTCACGTATGAGGGCAATGTTAATAATATGTGAATAATCATTCTTTTATCTCAGTCTTTACTCTTTTAACGTTTTTTCTCAATTCCGGTATTTTGTAGAGTTGCTAAATTGTTCGAGGCACAATAACATGAATTTACAGAAATAACCACGCCCATATTGAAAACCACGCTCAAAATATAACTCGATGTTTAATTACTGTTCACTGAAATTTGAGTTACTAGCAAAAAAAAAAACTAACTGAGCAAGTAAGCAACAACTTGATTGGACAGCATTATAAATAATTAAATAAACAAACAAACAAACAAACAAACAAACAAACAAAAACACAAAAATAAATAAATAAATAAATAAATAAATAAATAAATATATTGAGACGTTCAATTTGCGTATATTGCACCCCACAATGCAATACAATACAGTCCTGGCTGCCAGACATAACGAAATACCTATCAGTGAATGCCGACACTATAGTGTGCTTACTATACGCGACAGACCTGATGTAAATTGTAATTGTTTAGCGCATGGATAGCTTCTTTTTCGGTTTGACCAGTTTACAGGGTGAAGAGCGTGTTATGGAACCCAAACAAAGAACACAGGACGGTGTACATAGTGTACATTTCGCAGGATGTCATCGAGATATTTCAGACCGCGTGGAAGAGGGCACTACCATTGTTTCGACATGGCGTGCCGAACACAGAAAATCTATAAAACGAGATTCACGTGAATTTTTTTTCTTGTTAATGTAAGTCATCGTACAGTGTTCCAGGGTCAATGTACGCCAATAGACATTGGACCATCATCACGTGGTCAACGCAACAGGCAATGAATCAGTCAAAAAGTCAAAGATTGTTTAAAGTATAAGTTGTTATTCTGGAGAATAGCCAGGCTGCGGTAAGGGCATTTCGATAAATCTCACCCTCTAATGCCGTAAATGGGTGACACCAAAGCCGTTAAAAACGTCTATATCGTTTTGATGAATGAAAATTTTGTCTTCGAAAGATTTTACTATTTCCAGATAGCCAAAATATAGTGGTCAATTTGAACGACATTGCTGTCACATTAAACGCCATTTTGACGTCATAGATGTGCCCTGTCACTAGAGGGCGCGATTTATAGGAATGGCGTATTTATATTATGGAAGGTGACAACATTGAAATATTTTGTTGGTAATTAGTTTCCCTTATAATGGTTAATCACTGAGGAATGTGTTAATTAATGTGTTTACATTTGTGTCACCAGTCTTGCGTGGCAAATGACAAATGAATATAGCTATAACACTTGAGGGAAGATTAATTTAATCATTCCCAGTCGTTCATTCTCTGTGGCGTCTCCCGTCACGCGTCGAAATATTGAGTGATCTGCTATTTGAATTTGTGATTGTAATTACAACATATATACACGGTAGTCTCCTCACATGATATGATAGTGATACTGATTTAACCGGGTGATATACGTTACGTAAATGCCCATTGCGTCCGACATCCGCTTGATGATGTATTACAGGCGATGCCATGGTTCATTTATTGCACAAAGGCTTCTAGTACATACAAAAGAGCGTCCCGGAAATTGATGTTCACGCAGTTATAATATGTAATCAGAATTACTATTTAAAAAAAGGGTGTACATTATTTACCCGAAGTAAACCAGCCCGGGATAATTATTCGTGATATTTAAAAAAAAAAGTGAGTTAAAATTATTTCCGGTTCGGACACTGCGATTTATTCCATGAGCGTACTATATATAGGGGGTTCGAGACCCACTATAAAAAACAACGTTATATGACTTGACTTGACATGAGTGTAATGGGTCAGGTAAACTTTACAATGTTTATAGTTTGAAATGTCATTAACTGACTGTGCCACTTATCGCTGGAGTGTAGGACCAGTACATTATAATAAGCTAGGGAGCTGACAGATAGAGAGTCCTGAACAATAGCTTGGACACGCCAATTGTGATTTTCAGGCGATTGGAAACTTCAGATTGCCTCACGTCTCGATCATCTAGGGGCTGACCACACTATTTTCGTAATATGAACTGACGTATATAATTTAACCTGAATAATTTTTACACCAACTTACCTCTACTAAATGCCCCGGGGCATCGATATGAGTCCCACTATGTTCATCAACACAATAGTTATTTGCTTCGTAATAGTATCCACCCTCGGTAAACCCAGCAAATTCCGGCGAGAGCGTATACTGGTTTGCTGTTGGCAATCCGATCGTCTCCCCCTCCTTGAACACGTGCGTCATATCGAGGAAAGGCGACTCGTCACCATTACCTCCTCGGCACAGATTACACATTGACAGTAAAAACAGTGCAGCAAACGTTACCACTGAACGAACCATGTTTCCACCGCGGCGGCGCTCGGGTGTGGTTGTGTGCCGGGGCTGTAATGCGGAGAAGGGTGAATACAAGATTATACGCAAATATGACACGTGATTACCATATTTAAACCTTGAGTCTATCTATTGCCTGATTTATGTCACTCATGCGAACTTTAAAATACACGCCCTCTCTGTTTGATGTAGAGGCCTGAACTATGTGTGAAGTTAGCCCCAGGAACAACATATCATATTATCAAAATAACAATGGCCTTCACCAATTGTTTCCTTGGTAATTAGCGTACATTGTTCATGTTGGTATGAATTAAATAATTATATTAATGATAAAACATTATTTAAATATGTGATGTTATTATCATTTGAAGCTTGGCAGCAGGCAGAACGCTCACCATTGTCCTGCCACTTTCTAATCAAAACAAAATTTAACATAACTGTTAGACAGAGGAAATATTTTATTATATTTTAGTATTACCAGATGAAATACAAAGCAAAAACTAAAATGCTGAGACGCTGCTTGGGCAAAATCTAGGGTAGGCTAAGCCCTGTTTTTTTTTACCTCACTAGTTGTCTTAGGTTTGACCACAGGTGATGAGTGACTGTGGTTTGACTGCAAACTCCACGCCTACTACATTAACATAAACAACAAACTCAAGAACTAGCACCTTGCCACAAAACACAGACTTTCGGCATTTTTCCATCGACCGATCGCACAGTTTTGTAACCGTCCGGTCATTCCTCTCTCCACCAACCCGTGCTGTAATTCTATCATAGACAGATAGTATATTCCCGGGCGGGCATCCGGGCATTTTCACCGCCTGGCAACCATCACGGTGAACAAAGACCGAAAACGCCCAGAAAATTGTACTTTGGTATACTTGTTGACAATCTACTGAACAGTGTAACAAGATTAGCCCCTATATGTGCAACATATAAACATTCTGATGCTCAGGATTACTTCGAAGTTGAGTTTGTGCTGTTTCCTCGATATTAGCCTTTTTCACCGGCTAAACGACCGGCGTTCCACAGCAGCTCGCACAGAACCCATATAAATACATGGTACAGTGGTGCGTGTCTTAGCTACGTGGGACGTAGCTCCGCCCCGAGGATACTAAATTATCTATGGTTCTATTCGTGTAATTAATGTTACAACTGTGTAATTGTATTCGATCTACGCTGATCGATAATACGTGGAGGCAGTAAGCTGGAACATTATACCTTGAAATTCAAGATGGTATTTTTTACAGTCCACAAATTCTTGCGTTTTAATAGATTATATTGGTACCCTAAATTCTGACGATCGAATAGAATAATCGCCTTTTTGTCGCCTTTACATTGTACAGACATAAACAACCCATGTCTGACAGGCGAAGCGCAGACCTTTAGAGACAAACTCGTCTAAAAAGCATATCAAAACTATAAATATCATAGGTACAGGTAATACTTTGAGAGAAAGATGAAGAAAGTATTGTACTTCATATATATTCATTTTGTTTTTTTCATTTGTGCATTTAGATGTTGGATTTGCGGAAGATTATTTTTTCGATGTGAGGAAAATGAGTGACAGTAGAGACCATTATATTTTTGTGGCAAAACAAACATTTCTACGTATATTGCTTAACTACTGGGCGCTATATCGTATATCAGTCTACAGATAGATTATATTGACTTTCGTTTCACTTTCTGTGTTATGATTTGGCAGTGACGTAATTAATAATATTCCAGGAATATGTTTTATTTAACTGAATTATGGAATGATATTAATTCCACAACTACCTGTGGCATGATATCCATGGTAATATGAACACTCATACACATACATTATATATTGAATTTCATATCTCGTTTTATGTATAAAACACTCAACTAAACAACAAAATGTTAGTGACGGTATTGTCAGTGAAATCGCGCTCAATTATGTTGACAAATGTTTGGTTCACATGCTAAAATTTGAACGTACACGCATGGGTGAGATATGTGGGTCTCATATAAACAAAGAAGGTGACTTTGACTGTTGCGCAGATCAACGAGTACAAACAGAGACGTTACGAAGCTTTAATTAGGTATTTTTTAGGTGATTGGAAGGTATCGAATGAGTCACCGACGGTGATTTGTGCAAGTCGCGACCAGGTAAAACCTCATACTCGTGATTTCCATTAGAAGAGCGCATTGGATTGTGGGAAAATCAATGTTTATCAATACAAATATCGCACATGCGCAGCGCGACGACTGCCGCGCTTTAAAAGGCGGTGGTCGTCGCTTTGCATCCTTACTCAATATGGGACTCATAGCGACGTATACAACGCGTGTAAAATACAATGTTTGTTAGTCCCCGTTCGAACGAAGTCCGAAAACGGGGACTATTAATTTGGGTTTGTTCCGTCCGTCCGTCCATCCGTACGTACGTACGTCGGGAGCTATATCTCGGACACCCATTGACGGATGTCATTCAAACTTTACATGAAGACAATACATAATGTCTTACATATGCGCGTCAAGTTACTTTATGATCGGCCATTTTGGATGTAAAATTTGCTATTTCTGATACCTAAACGTGTCCACAGCAGTTTCTCGGAGATGACTGGGCCGATTTGTATCAAAGTTGGTATGATGATCATACATATTGGGTTGTAGGTGCACGTCATTTTTTTTCGTGATTCGAACAAATATGACCGACTTGCGGCCATTTTGTTTTTCATGGTACCCATGCTACTTTCTCTTGAATGCAATGAAAGTTTCTCTTTAAATTTTGTACAAAGACAGTATACCAATAGATACATCAACATGAACATTATTTTTGTAATTTGATTCAATATGACTGCCCAATGTCAAATTCTCTCGCACTAAATCATATTTTTTTACAAATCCATTGGACGGGGACTGTGTCATTAACAATGACTTGTTTACATGAAATTCGAACAAGTACTTCGGGACGACCACCACCCTTCAACAATGAGAGTAAATTGGCCGCTTGTGATCCACTCTCGGGGTTCACCGCGCTTTTCTCAGCGCGTGAACGCTTCTTAGACTACCACGGCGAAGTTGAAAAGTGTGAAGTCAGTCCGCGTGCTCGAGAATAGAAAATTCAAACAGAATACCAGATCCCCGCTTCAACAATATTACTGTTATACACCAGTAAATTGCAAATGACATTTGTTGGAAAATCACATATTAATTACTGAAACCAAAATTACTATCATTAGATAAACAAACAGTGTGGGAAAGACCTTCAGCGTCTTGAGGGGTCAAATGTTTCTACCCACAGCAGCGTTGTTCATTATATTTATAAATCCACTCAAAGGCATACAATTACTAGCCCTACGGGCATAAACGAAGGGGATAATCTGACAACGGATGGCTGAAAACAGATGAAGCAAGGGTCGGGTGCACATAAAATTCACCTAGATAGAGCCGTCTTATCACGCAGCCCAGTCATGCCTTTTAGAATGTGCACTGTACTTCTGCATGAGTGTCAATGTTATATTTTTTACCGTCAAATCGTTTCAGTAAGATGTGCCCGAATTGCAACATTCAAGGAAATTCCCCCCTAAATGATGATACACGACCGTCGTGAAT